GGATCTGAGATGCTAGAAGGCTGTAACATTAAGAGGGTGTTTCTCGTCCACATTAGTCTCAACGAGTTCAAGCCCAGCCCTCGGTCATGGGTGGTACCTACGCACGGGTTCACCAACTTTTTTTCGTGTAAGCTCATAACTCGAGAACCTGTAAAGCTAAAAGACTGTAGTTTTAGGAAGATATTCCCCGCCCGAGTAGGTCTCAACGAGCTCAAACCCAGACATCGGGTATGCGTGGTACCCGAGTGCGGGCTTGTGAAAAATTTTTTCAAGTAAATTGCTAACTCAGGAGTCAGAAAAGCTAGAAAGCTGAAATTTTGAGGGAATGTTTCCTGCCAGTTTTGGCGGCCAGTCTTAATTTGTTTAGCTAGAAGGATCTGCCCAAAAAACCGATGCCCGTAGCGGCAAAAACTGCGGGGAAACATGCAAAAAACGCATCTTCGTACGGGCAGCCCGTGCGTTGGCCAATTGCGTTGGCCAATATTTAATCTCTGATTTTTTAATTACATAATGGCAAAGTCGGTACAACTTGTGCGCGCTGCTACATCCGAACCACTGATTCAAGTTCACTAGTGGGAAAACCAAATCCCTCTACAATTTCTTTCAGTGATAAATTGTTACTGCGGCGAGCCAAGAATTGAGACTGCATTCATTCTGTTTCTCAAAATAACTTTGAAAATAAAGATCCGTCGATAGCCCTACCAACAGTGAATGATGCTGGCAAACTGCTCTCAGTCCGATCAAAGACGTCCGTCGCATGCTTTCACACAAACTAAAATATTAAGGGGTTTTCTAATTAAGTGTTGCCAAGAGGTGCTCATAGAAACCCTCTTTCACACTCTTCAGGAAGGCAATATAAACCAGTACAGAATATCCGAATATAAATATATAAATAAATATATATCTTGGTAAGATCCCTCATCATGGTCTTTGAGCAACATTTTTCTAGCTGAGGTAGTGGAGCTCAGTTCACTTATTAGCATATTGGAATGACCAAAGCTTCGCTAAATGCTGATGTTATGCGAACTGTCGGGTTGGTCCTTGAGAAGACGAAACAATTGTCAAAATCACCAGCAGGCTGATCACCAAGCGATGCAACGCTGGATAAAATAATAAGATGCCAGCTGCGTGGCTGAAAAACGACAGCTGATTGCAGCTGATCGAAATCTGTAATATATATATATATTCCTGGTATATATATATGCATGTATGTATATATATGTATACATATGTATATATATATATAAAGTTTCTGGTACATATATATGTATATACCAGAAACTGAGGTAATGGAGTTACACCTGTCTAAAACATTTTGCATGTTCTTTGGGATACCCAGAAGAAAAATTAAAACTGGTTTCGACGTAAAATGTCATGCCCGGAATAAACTGCAACCATGTGTGAAGTTTTTCGAAGCTGCCTCGTCCTCTTCCCCGCCCACCAACAGGGTTAATTTTGGCCTTCACACAAATTTCGTTATAACCTGTTTTCTTTTTCAGACTGATTCCAGATTTTTCGCAGTCAATCCATTATTCAGTAGGCAAAATTGTGAAAAAGAAAAAAAAAAAACGATTTTTGAACAAAAATGCTCGTAGCTTCGCGCGATTTAATTTTATGTGTTTCTACTTTTTGCAGCTCTTATTTCTTTTCCCTGCCTCATTCTATTTCTATGAATTTTCGCATATACAAATGAATAACTTCAAACAGCAGCATATCATGTGTATGTACTGAGTGCTTGCTTGTATTTCTTTTGATGAAAGATCTCGAAAACAATTAAGCTAAACGTAATTTCTCAATATAATCTCTGTCTGAGTACATGAAAAAAGCCTGAAATGAGGTTTACACGAGGCAGGAAAGGCGCGAGAACAAAGAGAATATGAAGAGGCTGGTTCAAAGTGAGGTTAAAGCCTCAATTTTTAATGAAGAAAGGAAAATCACGTTTCGCGTTTCATGCAGTATAAGACAATGGCCCAGTAGTCATTTGCCCAGGCCTTACATTACGAATCTATGGTAGAAAATAGAGTAATATCAGATACGTCAAAAAACAAAAGAGATCATAAACTCGGATTTCGGTTAACGCTATTTGTAGAATTAATATAACGCCAGGCTGCGACGCACCAGGCTTGCCGGTGCGATCATGTGTTTTTGCGCTAAACTTGCAGTTCGCCACTAGCAGAACAGGTTTCTGCCCTATAATTTAACACTTGAACTCATGCTGGCTGCGTTTTGGCCTCTTCCCGCATGCGGGCGGCGGAGGGGGGAGGGAGGTGGGGGGATAAAGAGTGCCGTTTGGGATGGCGTTATACAAATGCAGTTTGAGACTCCATTTGGATACAAGTGTCCCCAAATGGAAGGTAAATGTTCTAACGAAATTGCAGCAGCCGTTTCATGGGTAATTTTTGAACTGGAACGACGTCAACTACCACTTCGACTTGACTACATGCATGATGCAAGCGTGCGCGATGACTAGATATGAAATCTTTAACTTGTTCATGGGCGAAAAATACCCCTGCAAAGTTATAGCTTCCTACGCCTGCTGGTTCCCGAAACTTTCGCTCTTAGAAGAATTTGCGTATTTTTTTAAGGCATATGTATACGGTATCTAGGTAAACATGAACTTTATTTTTAAAAAGCGAGGGTGGCACAAGGTGTAAAAATATGTTTCTACAATTTCAGTTTAACAGCTTGCTCACCTTCTGACTTGTAAATGGGTGGGAAAATTCACTTGCTTCCGCAGACACACACACCTAGACACACGCACACACCTCACACACACACACACGCACACACACACATATACACTTAGACAGCTTTTTGGCAATGTGTTTTTATAGAATTTGCATAAGTTCTGAAACGCATGAAAACCCGGTAAGTTAGCACAGATTCCTTGACCAAGTAGTAATTTGTCTCTCAGCTCCCTTGTTCTTTTTTTTTCTCCATCCTGTTATAGGCGCTTCTCTCATGGGATACACTTGACGCCGAAGCCTCCTTCAGCTGATTGTCAGACGATGTAAAACTGGTCAGAGCAATTAGAAAAGTTGCAACTGCATAGCTGGAGAAAGACGCAATGACTGCAGCTGATGAAAATGTCAGACTTAAGTATTCCTCGGGACCGACTAATAGAACGAATTCGATTAAAGCTTATAACCAGGAACGAAGTCGAGAGCTGCAGTGATTTATCATCAAACTGTTTGTTATTCCAGGTGCACAAACGTGAAATGTCCTGTATATGTTGCTTTTGTCAGTGTCATCGTCTTCTCGTCCTCCCTATTTCCTCCCATTTAATGATCATTTTCGAAACCTCTGCTTTCCGTCTCGTTTGCCATCTTCTATAATTCATCCGGTGGGGTAAGTTGAGGGGTGTTCATTGTTAGATCGAGTGATAACATGCCTAACAGTGATAGCTGCCGCATGGAAAACCTATTCAATGAATGTGCAAGAATCGCTTGAGCTGGAGCAAAGCGAAAGCTCTTTGAATCTTGGGCTGAATCGATACACACTGTCCTGGGTAGAAAGGAAACACAAGTTAGCTGGTTCTTGCAGCGGAGGCCTCATTTCAAGAATTAAACTGTGGAAGTAGCGGCACAAATTAACACTCAGCTTTTGACTTCTGTTACTCAGTATTTCTGGAGCTTATTAAATATGCAGTAATTATGGTGCTCAAATAATTGCTTTTACATGCATAATCATGGTTTACCAACCTTCATCCCAGCTTTTTTTTTTACAGTTGCTTGGTGTCAGTAGTCCAGCGAAACTTGTTAATCTACGATGTCGAGACGGCTTTTAACAGTTGTTCAAAGTGATGCCAAGAATAATAAAACAGTCGCACAGTCAGTATGATTAACCCTTGTGTGTCCGATATTTCTGAGATGCTCCCACAACGGACAACTGCGTTGGATCTTTCAATCCTGAGCTACAAAAACCCGCTGCTCGTATCCACCGCTTGTTTGATATATCTGTACCATTTTTTCGGCAACCCAGTGGTCGTTTGCTTTCTTGCGGTCGCTACCTGCTAAGTTCACCTAGAGTTGCGGCTAGGCAAGTAACATGCCGTACCCTCATTTACACATTTGGATTTTTTGACGAACACCGCTCTAGCATCATTTTCACTTTTTAGTGAACTGGAAATCTGCATTTTTCGAGAAACGAGCATTTAGCAGAAGAACGGCCGGGCTTCATGCAAAAAACTGATGATCATGTACCTGGAGGTCCACGCTACCCTATAATGAAACATCTTCATCCCAACCGGCGCCCTTTCTGCTAATTGCCACTCGAGAACCAGGGGGGCCTCAGACTCTAGCTAGTGGGATTCCAAACGGCCTCATTACAGCAGAAAAAAGTGGTATCAGTTGTGTCAGTACAAAAAACGCATGACTGAATATTTATACAGCTGAAAATGGCGCTTTCCAATTTCAACTCCAAGCTTTCAATGATTTTTTGCTTTCTACATGGAAGCGTTTTTTATAGGCAGAAAGGTGCCTAAAACGTATAGACATACTGTGCTATTAGTGATTCTGTATGCTTTATGCGTGGAAAACTTATGAAAATGGGTAAATAGAAACGGAGTCCACGAAATAGGCCTTTTCTCCTAATGAGATATTGTGAAATGTTCAGTGAACAATGCATTCAGGTGCTAAGGCCACCGCTGTTGTCGCGCTTGTTCTTTTTGCATATACTACAGTTTGTTATCGATAAAATTATGGATATTTCGCTCAGCTCGAGGATTTTTTGAGGCTTTTAATCTAAGCTGCAATTATGGAAAGGTAAGTGAATTACTTCAGTTACAGCACCTACACGTGCTTCGACAGGCATCGAAAGTTAGGAACTATCCTTTCAATCCTGTTTACCTTAAAAATACTGCGACAGTACTGATTTCAAGGATGCTCCACAATTTCGAAGCTCGACATTGTGGAGCATTCTTGAAATCGCAGTTCTTAAACGCCACGGCAAAGCAAAGTCTTATCTCATTATAGGCTGTTTTTTCAACAGCCCAGCAACATGTCGAGCTTAGAAAGTTGCTTACTCTTAGTATACGATAAGCTGGTAGTAATTTTTGATTGATCGGTCTGTTAAAACAATACTCTGCTCTGTTTGTCACCGCGGTACTGGACTTTATGAGGGTTAATATATCTTGGATCAGTGCCATACTTTGTCATGAACTATCTCAAAAATCAATTACTGTTTCTTGTTCAGTGAGCTGGTTGCAACACGACGCACTTCGTTCTGTGCTCACTAATTCGGTTTCAGGCAACAATTCCCGTTCAGACAAACAAATGCTTCATTTGAAATTGTTTCGGAGCAAGATTTACTTGAATATCAAAAACTAATACCCTGGCAGGCAATGACTCTGCTAATTGGCAGCGTTGGTGTTGTTATCAATTTACTTTTGCTTACTGTATTCTGTGGTTTTTCCACTTTCTGGTCGCGGTACAAGGTAAGCGGGGCATCTGCAACTTTGCTACTGTTAGAAATATGTTCAAATAACTTAAAAAAGATCGTAAAATGTTAAGGACACGTTTAGAACAGAGTTCGACGAACCTTAATTAGACGATTACGCTGCGCTTATGTATGCTTGATACCAAAAACAATATCTGTCATGAATGTGCTTAATGCATATAACATGTATCGCAGCAACAATGTGAACTTTTGAAATAGACCGAGTGGTAGTATGTCTCAGTAGCAGTCTTCTGCCAGCACTGAGTTAAAATCTCAAGCAGCAATTTTTTTTTACTTTTGGTGAGAATACTTTCATACATCCAATTCTAATCGCTGAAGCAATTCTAAACAAGGAAAATCCATCCGAAAAGCAGTATGAAGCTTCATGGAAAACTTCTCGCTTGTCTTTAAAAAATCTTTGTAAAATCACGATTTATTTTGACAACTACGCTCTTATTCTCCCATAAACCGTAATATTTGAATTCAAAATTAGAAGTGCTAAAATTTTAGCCCTTTGTAAATTTCTTGCAAAATATAGAAAATCGTTAAATGACTTTCAGCTATTCATATGCTTAGCAGTTGGTGATTTATTCAATTGCCTTGGAATAGCCCTGCTTGGCTTAAACAGACGATACTTATTCAAGGAGGTGACCGAGCGAGGATACGCAATACCACAAGTAGGTTTTCATGCTGCATTTTCATCAGCGCTAATCACGGAAGCAAAAACTGATATGGATCGGCTGCGCCAAAAGATTTCTGGATTATGTGCCTTGTTCGGCAAGGTTGCGGGCACAAAACGAAATGTCGTTATAGAGCTTGAAAGTTATTGTCTGGCTTTGATTTTCTAAATGGTTGGGCCTGATTTCCAAAAATTTTAACGTTCTGTGCTCGTGCGCTCTCGAGTTAATTCAGGCCAACGCGGACGTGGTTTTTTTCCTGACATTTTGAAGTGTACAAAGAATTCCATACAAGTTGCATTTGATTCACTGTATAAAGAGGAAGTTCTCATGGAAAAGGCAAAATAATATGAAATAAATTGCATAAGTTGATGAGTTTAGCACACTGCAGCTCAACGTACTCTTGAGCTGAAAGTCGTGGCTTTAAAAATCTCATCTCTTTCCGATCTTCATCACGACAGAGATTTGTTTTCCATGTATTTCCTAAGGAAGCCTCTGAGGAGAGGGTCATTGACGGCCTTGCTAGTAGACGACTGCTACTGAGACATGCTACCGCTCGGTCTATTTCAAAAAGCGAAAATGGACAAAAAAAAAACTGCTTTCGGGCTGACTTAAGTCACACAGCTTTTCGGGGGATTTAAAGGAAAAGCAGCCACGGTGTTTTCATCCAGAATTATCCGGAAAAAAGGGCATTTGAAAAGTTTAAAAAGTCCCTATGAGAGGGGAAAGCACTCGAAAAGTAGCTCGAGTTGTGGCAAATGTTAATAACCACCCGCTAGTAAGATCTCCTCTTTTGCGAGGCTGGTAACTGACTCGGTTCCTTGGCATATGCCGGCATGAATTTACCGCCGAAACAAAAAAACGATTCGCAAACTGTTTGATTTATCGCAAATATCGTGTTGTGCCGCTCCAGGCCAACGAGCATGGGTTGAGTACTCGACTTCGCCAGGGGAATTGAATCCTATTTCCGACGCTACGCTTGCCGGCCTGGTGAATTGCAGCACGATAATTACTACAAATTTATTCATCAGCCACAATATATACATGTTTATTGTTCTTTGTTGTTAATTAGTCCACTAAACTTGTACTGTGTTCTCTCCTTTTTGCCATACACATGGCACGCGTACATATTTAAACCCAGGCTGGAACGCACCGGGCTTGCCAGTGTGATCAAGCGTTTTTGCACTAAACTCACAGATCGCTAATAGCAGGAATGATCCTTGCCCTGCAGCCTAACACTTGGACTCTTCTGGCATGCAGGAGAAAGGGCGTCGGTTGAGATGAAAGTTTCACATTATAGGGCTGCATGGACCTCCAGGTGCATAATTACCAGTTTTTTGCATGAAGCCCGGTCGTTTTTTCGGTGAATGCTCGCTTTTCGAAAAAATGCAAGTCTACAGTCCGCTAAAAAGTGGAAATGTTGCTAGGGCAGTCGTTCGCCAAAAAAATCCAAGTATGCAAATGAACTGAATGTTCACTTACCTATTTGGATGAGGGCAGTCTTTCGCTGCAAAACGTCCCTGCAAAATTTTGGCTTTGTACCTTGCCTCGTTCACGAAATCGCTTCCCGCCACAGAAATTTGCATATTTCGCTGAGGGGTCCATACTTGGAGTCTAGGCGTGTTTGAGCGAAAATTTTAAAACGGGAGGGTGACACATGGGGTAGGAACACATACCCAAAATTTCAGCCTCCCAGCTTTCCTAGCTGCAGAAATGAAAGTGGGTGACAAAGTTCACTTGCTTCCGAACATACGCACACACAAACACACACACATACACACACACACACACACACGCACTCACACATACACAGACTTTGCTGACTTTAGCAGCGCTATAGCGCTGCGCAGCAAAGCGCATAATAAACGACGAACGCATTCAAAAATAGGCGGTTGATATTGTATGCTAATGATGTGTTTCAAAACTTATCTGAGATTATTCTAGACGCCGATATCCTGCGCTATGAAAGCATATGTTTGGATACGTCTGATTGGAACATTATGGCCACCAGCTATACAGCTTGCCATTGGCGCCGATCGGGCTGCCTCCATTCTGAAACCATTCTGGCATCGTCGTTACATCGATAATAAGTTCGTTTGCTGCACATCCTGCACGGAATATTGCAAATCTCAATAAACTGCCGCGTTTCTATGAAATTCAGAGAGCAGCTTGCTTTCCTAAGAAAGTAATCAGCAGCACTGTTAGCTGACTTATTTTTGCCGGTTGTGCGGAAAGTATTGCCATTTATCTTATATGGGTGTTTCTCAGTTTTAACACCAGCTTTGCTGTTTCACACAACGTCGGTGGCAGAGGCCGTTTACCTCATATATGATAATCCTAAAATGTAGTGAAGAGAGGGAAATAAGAGAAAGAAGGTTGGAAAGCTATTCGTAAAACGAAAAATTGACCAAACATTTTTCCCTCGCACGCTCAGTGCATTTCGCAGCGACCTCGGCGTGGCATCATCCTACTAATGCAGGAGTTCGATGATACCGCTTGAAAGAACAATGTGCAAGAAGAAACATGCTAGCAGTTTTTGAGGCGCTAGGTGATCGAAAATAAGCAATCCGATCGTTGAAGTGTAGAAACTCATGTCACAGACCAAAGCCTCCGCGATGATTAAACTGAACTCTTGGCACTCTTTTCAGGGATTGGCAGTTGGGCGTTACTACGTTTCTCTTCGTCATGGTTTCTCTGTTTGCCGGATTGTTAATTGTTTTAATGAATAGCGATCGGACGGTTATCTTTTATTGTGGACGGAAGGCAACATTTTCGAACGGATTTGGCTATTACGTATATTTTGCCGAGGTGTCGTTCTTGTATTTCGCAATAAACATGAAAAGATTACATGTGTAATCAGCTGAAGTATGAAAGAACGCTTTTCAGTGACCCATTCTACATCACGCTTTTTTCGCAGGTCAAGAGAATTTGCAACTCAGCTTTAAGTAAATAAACCCAGAATTCTGGGATTTTCAAGAATTGTTTTTTTAAGTACGTACAAATAATCATTTCGTCATCTCATCCGTCTTCCACTGCCCTAAAAGTTAAGGAGGCCAAGCAGTTCATGTTCGCAAAATGCACAGAATATCGCTCTGATATTTCAGACTACTGGCTACTTTGTTGCATTGTTTCTTAGCTCAGTGGCCTATTTTGGTGCTCGAAATGTTCAGCAGACAAGGTACTCATGCTGTTTTTTGATTCTCGTATGAATCCAAACAGCTCGTTCAACCAGACCTACAGATGCCTTCTATTTTCAGACAAAGCGTAGGCATAGTATAAGTGCCATAAAACCGCGCCGAATAGAGCATCCGACTTGTGAAGTGATAAGAATCTTTGAACCTTCAAACAGATCCCAAAATTGCTATTGCAACCTGCCTCACATTACAGCTTACATGATGCATATGTAATTTGGTTGGTGCTTATGTTGCTGTGGTACTGCGTAATGAATGCATATTTAGAAGTTCAAGTGCGTACCAATATTCTCCTCTCATACTTAGCATAAATAAAGCTTGCAGAAATTTAAATTTCATTGTGTCCAATCATTCTGCTATCGCCTTGTTGGGTACCCTGAAGAGCAGGAAACTGAAATGGCCAAGCAGAATGACAGCGCATGCTTCTGAATTTGATGCCCAGACACAAAAGTATTAATTTTCAGAGCAATAAAAGCACAGCTGAAGAAGATTCGTTACGTGTTAGCAATGGGATTTTTATCCTGTATATTTATTGCTTTACCAAATATTTTTTCTGTGATTTCTGCTTTCGTAGTCCGGGTCGTAAGTTTTCATTTTTATGCGTTTTTACTGTTTTCATTTGCTACGTAAGTTTTCACAGCGTAAGCTACGATTTTCATTTGTAATTCGTAAGTTTTCATTTCCTACAGTGAGCAAAAACGCCTATTGTCGAGAGACCGTCCGTGTGGGTATGGTTCGGAAGTAAGTGAATCCACTTTCAACTCAGCAGCCAGGAAAGCTGGGAGGCTGAAATTTTGATGTCATATTCTTATCTTATGCGTCACCCTTCCATTTTAAAAATCTCACTCATACGTGTCTAGATGTCGTGTACGGACCCTTGAAAGAAGCATGCAAAGTTTTTGGTGGGAAACGATTTCGTGATCCCACACCACGCGTGCGGTCACATCAAAGTTCGCAATTACCACTGTGTTAACTTGAAAACTATTTAATTAAAAACAGTTGCTGAAAATTTTGTCAAAATATTTGTCGTTTGTATAGAAAATCGTACACCTAAATTTAGTTTGGACTTGCACTTGCGCTACGACTTAAGGCACCTCAAAGATATTTGTAGCTAATTCGCTTACCAGGCAAGCTGCGAAGTTGAAATTTTGCAAGAATATTCTATATTCACGTACGGTTTTAAATCAGCTCAGAGGTGAAATTCCGTGCACGCGGTCGTGACAAACATTCATTTTTATTGCAAGCTCAAAAACGAGTGCATTTTGCGAATCCCGTAATCCTTCTCCAATTTCCTTAAAATTTAAGCAATTACTAAAACTCGGCTCGGCTCGGCACGGCTCGGCTCGGCTCGGCTGGTGTCTTACACGAT